ATATTGGAACTACTCATATTTCTCCTAATATTCCTTTGAAAAATATTCTTGTGGTTCCACACCTTTCTAAGAAACTTCTTTCTATTAGTCAACTAACAAATAATTACCTAATTGATGTCTTGTTCTCTAACAACTTTTTTAATCTTCAGGACTGAATGACAAAGAAGGTACTGGGCCACGACATACATGAGAATGGGCTTTACATTCTCAGCCCAACATTACAAGCACTTTTGACTACCACCTCCAAGGTACATACATCTTTTGAATTATGGCATATTAGACTACTTCATGCAAATTATGATACTATTTTTGCTTTGAATAAGACTGGAAGTTTATTAGTCACTTCTAATTTACCTAAACCGGGTATTTGTTCTTCTTGTCAAATTTCTAAACAACATCGCTTACCTTTTGTGTTGAATGCAAAACGGGCTTCACATGTTTTAGATATGGTTCATTGTGATTTATGGGGACCCACACCAGTTTTATCTAATGATGGTTATCGATACTATGCTATATTTATTGATGACTTCTCAGGTTTTACTTGGTTTTATCCTCTTAAAGCTAAAAGTGGTTTTTCGCAAGTTCTAAAATCCTTTTTGGCATTTTTCCAAACTCAATTTTCCACCAAACTCAAAAATTTTCAAAGCGATGGTGGTGGCGAATTTCTCAGTCATCAAGTTCAAGCCTTATTTAATGAGAATGGTACTCATCAACAAATTTATTGTCCTTACACACCTCAGCAAAACGGTAGAGCTGAAAGAAAGCACCGACACGTTACCGAAACAGGCCTTGCTATGTTATTTGGTGCTTATATTCCTGCATCTTTTTGGGTTGATGCTTTTGCTTCTGCAACCTATGTTATTAATTGCTTACCATCTCGGGTCCTCAACAACAAATCTTCTTTTGAGCTACTTCATTGCATTCTTCCAAACAATGATAATTTAAGGGCTTTTGGGTGAGTCTATCCTTATTTGAGAGATTATTCTGATCATAAACTGGAACCAAGAAGTATTCCATGTGTCTTTCTTGGCTATGATACACGTTACAAAGGATATCGATGCATGGATCCTACAACTTTGTGTATCTTTTTTACTCGCAATGAAACTTTTAATGAGGCTTGTTTTCCTTACTCATCCATCGTTACCTCTTTGGCACTTGACCAACTTTCAACCACTATCTATACTGAAGTTTTACCATCCATGTCTTTCGCTCCTCCTGTCAACTCGTCAATCTCTCACAACCCCACTAATTCTCCATGTTTTGTTTGTGTTGACTCTCTGCTTCATCAACCTCCATTTCCTGACCCATCAGCCCAACCTGAGGAAGCCCATAACGAAGAAGCTCATCCTGATGATGAACCTCCAGTCGCGCCTCAACATCAACCCAAGGAGGCCCACATCCCCGAGGCCATTATACCCGACGCTAATATTTTACCTACACATTCCATTCAAACCCGTTCCAAATCTAGGATTTTCGTCCCAAATATCGTGCAGACATCTCCATTCTCAACACATCTAATTTGCATCATGCTCTTTTCACAGGAAAAGAACCTCACGGTTTTAGAACAGCCTCCAAAGTTCACTCATGGTTTCAAGCAATGCATGATGAAATTCAATAACTTCATAATCAACAAACTTGGGATCTAGTTCCACGACCATCATCCTCTAAATGTTGTCGATTCAAAATGGGTTTTTCATACCAAGAATAAATCTGATGGAACGGTTCATCGTTTGAAAGCACGTCCTGTTGCTCAAGGTTTTAACTAAATATTGGGGTTTGATTTTTCTTATTTGTTTAGTCCCGTGGTTAAAGCCTCCACTGTACTCATTGGCTTATCTATTGCGGTTACACACAAATGGCATCTTCATCAACTTGATGTTAAAAATGCTTTATTAAATAGGTTCCTAAATGAAATTCTCTATATGGAGAAACCTCCGGGTTTTACAAATTTGACATTTCCCAATCATGTTTGTCGTCTTAAAAAATCTTTATATGGTTTAAAACAAGCACCTCGTGCTTGGTTTCAAAGATTTAGCACATTTCCTCTACAACAAGGATTTCACTGCAGCCAATCTGATACATCACTTTTGTGTTTCACAAAAACTCGTGTATCTCATACTTGGTTGTTTATGTAGATGATATCATTCTCACCGGTAATGATGAGTCGTCTATTAGGAAATTTATTGCTCGTCTACATGCCGAATTCTCCATAAAAGACATGGGTCATCTCAGCTATTTTTTTGGGTCTTGAAGTTTCTTATACTGGAACTGGTTTATTTCTTAACCAATCTAAGTATGTTCATGATATCCTCATACGTACTAGCTTGTTAGACTCAAAACATGTAGCCACTCCATTGAGCACGAATGATGTCTTTGTTTGTACTGACACTACTTATCCTGATCCCACTCACTATCGCTCTTTAGTTGGCGCTTTGCAGTGTTTAACGATTACACGTTCTGATCTTTATATGTTGTAAATAAAGCCAGTCATTTTTTGCATGCTCCAACTATTGATCATTTCAGATGGTGAAACGTATTTTACGTTATGTCAAGGGTACTCTTACTTATGGTCTTACCTTTTCAAACGTACCCACGAGATCCTTAATTGGCTATTCAGATGCGGATTGGGCTAAATGTATTGAAACTCGACATTCTACGTATGGTAATTCTATTTTTCCGGGAGGTAATCTTGTTTCATGGAGTGCTAAGAAACAACCAAAGGTTTCTCGATCAAGTTGTAAATCTGTATATCGTGCTATGGCCAACACTACTGTTGAGCTCATTTGGGTCACTCATCTTCTTTGTGATTTACATGCTTTACCATCGGGACATCCTACCTTATTATATGATAACCTCAGTGATGTCTTTCTAAGCCAAAACCCTGTTTCTCACAAACGAGCAAAACATATCGATATTGACTATCATTTTGTTCGTGAATTAGTTTCTTCCGGAAAACTTCATACAAAATTTGTTCCTACCAAGCTCCAGGTGGCTGACATCTTCACTAAACCGCTACCAATACCTCTATTTCAAGAATTTCAAGATATGTTGCATGTGTCATCTCCAACGGTTCACTTGAGGGGGGTTATTGACAGAAAGGGATGAATATCCTTTCCTAATTTAAGTTGATTTTATTTCCTTTTGTATATTCATCGTGATTGTATTGATACCATTGTAATTCTTTGTATAAAGCATAACAAGAATCGGTTTATACCTCTCATAACTCTTTCATGCTAAAATCACAAAAACAATATCACATCATATAGAAAAGGAGGGATGTGGAGCTTGATCTACAAAAAGAATCTTCCACATGGCATCTTAAGCGAGAACAAAAAGTCAAGTGAAGATATCATTAAAAATTTTGGAGAGGTTAGAAGACGAGCTTGATCAATTAGTTGAGGTGTCAAATCAACTTGACATCGAGATAAAGGTAATTTGGTGATCTAAGTGTCTTCTTTTTAATCGTGCTTCTATTGGTGTAAATCAAATTCACTCAACAGGGATAGTAATGGTAATCCGTTTCTATAGAGGGGTAGTTTTGGTAATTTGTTGGATTGTTCACCCAACAAAAGCTGGTATATTTCTCTTTCTAAATCGTCATTAATCATTTAATCTAATTGTGTGTGTTTCTTAACTAAAGGGTTTTTAATTGTGGTTGAGTATAAGCATGTCTCAAAAGATGTGGGAAGAGTTGCAGGTTAAGATGGCTAAACTATCTGTTGGAACCTGAAAGTGAACCTCTAGCAATCCTAACTCCTTATTCCGAAGTGGGTGAATTCCGAAATGAAGTGTTGTCCGGAACCTGTCCGGACCAATTATGAAGGAAAGAAGAATGAAGGCATTCCGGAGCTGATTCTCATGTCCGGAATGCATGCTGAAGTCCTTTTGTCCTTTGTGCATTTATTACTTTTGTCTTGTATTTGATGTTACGTTTCATAGGACTTAGTCTAAAGTTGTATTAGGACAATCAGAATGTCAGACTTATGTCTTTTGTCCGGTCTTATGTAAACTCTTGGGTTAATTCGCTGTAACTTTCACTCCTATAAATAGGAGCATTCAATACAAGTCAATAACGGATCTTTTACTCACTTTTTAGTATTTACTCCAAGTATATTCAAAACATTCTTCTTGCTCTTCATTTATTAGCTTTACCTTAATCTTTTACTATTGTTCTTCATTTAATAGCTTGATTGTTTGTTGAACATTTTATCTAAGACTTGACTGGTCTTTCCAGCCTTGACTTGAACATCTATTAGTAAGCAGACATTGATCTTAAACATTCATTCAAGGTTTGAGTTTTCAAACCTTGTCCCTGCGCATCGATCTTGTTCTCACACTATCTGCGACTTAATATCATGAGACTTAATATCAGACATGGTGAATTCTCTGATGAAGAAGATAGGATTATCTGTAGTTTGTATGCCAACATTGGTAGCAGGTTTGCATTTGGACCTTTCGCTTTTTACTAACTTTGTACTTGTAACTTAATGACCACTCTCACTTATATACATATAAAACTGATGTACTTAGATCTCTTCCACCCTATTGCATAGATACTCAAATAGAATGGCGGATCTTGTTGTTAGCAAGATAGAAATCTAGTAAAGCCAAAACTAATAGAGACTAATGGTGATGGACAAAATGGTCACAAAAATATTGAAGGAAGTCTTCAGTCAATGATTCTTAATGATGATGGCAATGGTGTTTTTCCTTTACTAAATAGAAACTTATCATTCTACCTAAATTTCCCTCATTGCTAGATCCGTAAGAATAAGAATGACCCACCAAATGTTCAATTTGTTGGCACTGTTTCACAACTTCAGAGAATATTTCTTGTAAGAATTGGATTGTTACTTGGTTCTTTTTATAATCATTTAATGACATCAATTTCTTTTGGAACTCATTTAATACAAAAAAAGCACAACATAACTCTTCACCATTACTTCATGGCTTTGAGTAATCATTACTATAACATTCTTGAAAACAAACACAAACAACAACTATGACACAGACCCAAGCGGCTTAAAGATTTTAAGAGAAGCAATGAGCCCTCGAGTTGATCCAGCCCCAGCTAAGAGCGATACCATCAAGCACCCTAGACTCAATAGCTGCATGAAGATCCAAGTGAAGGATAACTTGCGAATCTTTGTTTGCGAAATGTACATCTCTATGGGGAAATAAACAGATAGCGGCCAGAATGTGCATGCACCAAGCAAACCCATGAACTCATTGAAGAAAGGGAATATCATGGCTATTGTTGTCATCACTGTAACGTAAGTAGATCTCAAAATTAATCTGAATAAATTAATCTTCACATTCCCCAAAGTGTAGTACTTCGTTATGAGAGCACTTTGTGGCCATCTTTTTCTGCTCCAATCTTCCAGAAGCCTGAAAATTGGTTGTGCTAAGACCTTCACAAAGAAATTATCGTGATCATTTCGTGATCGATGAACACGATTTCTAAAATCTTGGTTTTAAATACGCTTTTCTGGATGGTTGAATAATCGATATTATCCGACATCCTTGAAAGGACATTTTCTTGAGCATCCGCCTCTTTTATACAAATGCATATAAATCTTCAAATCACCCCTTTGTTTAACATTAAACTTTCTACTACACCCCTTTTTAATTTTATATAAATATGTACATATAGCAAAGAATAAATATTTGATTTACTTTATCACGCTTTTACAAAGCTAATCAGTACGATCAAAATATGCTTTGACAAAAAAAAATTAATATAAATTTTACTTTTAATTGTATTTGTATTGAAAAATAGATATTCAATATGTTATATCAAAAAACATTATGAAAATTAAAAAGGATTTTTTTTTGTATTATATATTTATATTAGTTTTTTTTATTAGGGAATAAAAGATTTAAAACCGACTACTGTTTTGTTTTAATCGATCTGCTATTTTTCTTACTTTAAATCATGTTACATGAGAGAACTAAGCATGCTGAGGTTAATATTTATTTTGTTAGAGAAAGAGTAGCAGATTGCATATTAAAGTGGTTAAAATTGATCGGTTTTTTACAAACTGGAAATTTGTTTACCAAATCCCCGAATACTTTAAGATTTTAAAAAACTCAATCTAATTAAGCCATTCTATTGATATGATTGAGGGAGGGTGTTGAGATAATTGAAATTTTGTAAATCTAATATATTTTCTAAATTGGAACTCGGAAAGTTGTCTATGCAAGGAAAATAGGAAATGCATGTGAAGTACAATATTGTGGTCGTGGATGTACGTGTTGGACTGTCGACGGGGTAGCTGGAAAAGATGACAAAGCTCAAGGACTATTGTGAGAATATTGATGACGGAAGGGGTATAACAGAAATAATGTTTATAAAAACAATTGTGTCCCATATAGAAAGTATCATAATTAGCTACATGTATGTACTCTATATCAACTCATTTACGTAGTTGTTAAAGAGTGTAACAGATATTTTCGATTCTCATGTAATTTGCTAACCATGTGAAAGAGTGGGTGTTCATGAGAGTAGATTAGGAGATTTGTAGTGAGTTTTCACTTCTATTTATTTCACTTAATAAAAGTTGGTTATACTTTTTTTGTTCACCAAGGAAAATATTGTGATCCAGTGATCCAGGAACACATTTTCGTAGATCTGTGTTTTAAAATAAGCTTAATTTTCTACATAGATTTTAAGTCGCTAACTATTTTTCAAAATCACGTTAAATTAGGAAAAATATTTTTTAGGTAAAGTAAATTCACTTTTGTGGCTAATATGAGGTATGTGATGTTACCTGATAAGCACCTATAAGATGAATAACGAGGCATAAATTAGCTAGGTCGACAAGCCAAAAGGGATCGAAAAAGCCAAATCCAGTTAAGAAATTTCCAGGTGCATTATTTCCGAATGCCGCATATCCGAGTGCACCACACATCATGTAAAATATGGTGGATGCCAAGATTCCGACTGAAGTTGCCTTCTTCATAGATTTGTTCTCCGGGGGACTTGATTTCAATGTATCCTACAAAAAAATTCGACTCAAATTTCCATACGTTCTACAACAAAAAACATCACAATTGTTTGTAATTTGAGTATCATCAATCCTTTTAGTATAGTCTGGATTAACTCGAGACAAGTTGGATTTAGCTTCACTGGCGGATCTACTAAGGAGTACCGGGTTGCAAGTGCTACACTTTAAATTTTAGGTGTAGCCGAAATTTTTTGAATTTTTTTAGGTGTAGTGTAATTTTTTCGACGTGCTACCTCTAAAATTTTCGTGTGCTACCCCTTTTAACATTTTATTCTGGCTCCTCCAGTGTTTAGCTTTAGCTGTAATACAAGTTTGGAGGAGCAAAGTACATACTCAGATAAGCCAAGCCTAAGAACACCGGGGCGGTGCCCCTGGTAGTTAATTTCCCACCAAAATCAACCATTATAAGTATTGGGAAAATATGACTTTTCCCTCCAAAAATAACCGGACTTATTTGGTTCCCCAGAGAAAAGACACACGAAAATTGCACTTTACTCTATGGAATTATAAATTATTATTTCAAAGAACACAAAATAAAGCAATTAGTATTCGGTGTTTTAGCAATCTTGGATTTACCTGATATCCAGATTAATTCTTGGATTATCGCAAGTCTAAATTTGTGAAACCTCATGTAATAGAGTCGAATTACAAATTTGAAAAAGTGTTTCTAACACGATACTTAAAATTATCCAAGCTAGTATTTATATAATTATATTCAATGCATGTTTTTCAAAAACAATTGCTATATATATACCAAAATTTTTTCACAATAGAAGATCATAAACGACAAAGAGCAACCCATTTTCACATAAAAAGTTTTACCTGAATCTCGAGGAGGACAAAACTGAAGGAGAAAGCAACAGCAACATCGCCAAGAGCCAAAAACATTTTCCACATTTTTTCCTCGCCGGTGATGTCTTTGCCAACAGGTATTCCGGTCAAACTTGTCTGCGCCATCCCTTCTCTAATAATTTTACTAATGGAAAGACCAATGCCAATGGTGCAATATATAAAGGACATGATAGCAGCGATGATGGACACCGGCGCCAGTTTTTGGAAGTTGGGCACTTGGCTTAAAATGATCTGAATAATTGCAAAAGTCACCATGAACGGATTGTTGCCAACGTGGCAGTCCGCTTGGTGGCCATGCTTATGGAAACAATTTGATTTTTTTATTGCCCTGGTCAACACAAGTAGCTAATATTATATTGATGATTATGAAATAGAGAAATAGAGAATAAATAATGGTATAAGTAGTAAACTTACGCCATGCTGATAGCCGTAGTGGTCGTGTAGGCTATGGTGACTCCGATAAGAACACCATACTGAGCAATCCCACAAATCTTGTATTGAAGCATTCCTGTGTACACATAGAGATCGTAAAAATTGCTACAAGAATATGGAAAACTTGAGTTGACCACAATCCATATTTCAAAATTTTGGTCAATCTTTTTCATGGTTGTTTCCAGTTACACGAAAATGAACTTGATTTATAATTAAATCTACCATATACGATATTGTTTACCTAAAAACCCATCACTTGGTTACATTTGGACTTAAATTAAATTACCAAGGTTGGCTTTAACGGCGTTCATGTATGTGTAGTTTCTGGTTCCATTAACAGGATCTGGTGATCGGTAACAATCCACTAAAAGAAATGAAGTGAATAACATGATGATGCCGAAGAGTATGAGAGTGATGATCCCAGCTATCCAACCCAACTGGGCAAAACACCAAGAGAGTGATAGCACCCCTGACCCAACTATGGTTGTTATTATATGGGCAGTCGCACTCTGCCATGTTCCTTAATTAACATAAAAAGAAACACTAGTAAACATAAAGAAATTGTAAGGAAATTAGATACATGAAAACTAACATACCTGTCCGTTTAATTCGACCATCATCGTCGAACTTTTCATCAGGAAGAAACTCATTCGATACGATAGAGATGCTAGATGCATTGTGCATTGGTGAGAGTTAATGGAGGTAAGGACTCAAAAGGGGTAGAGAGTGAAGATGTTAATATATATACACATTGTGGGTTTAAATACAAAGTTTCTAAAATTAAAATTCAAAGCGCACATGTATCGTCAAGTTTCCTTGTTTTAATTTTTTCTTAATTATTTGGACTTTTCTTGTTTTTATTTTTTCTAGACTATGATTACATTTTTGACCCTTGTGCTTATAGTTTATACCCGTGGAAATCATCAGTTTGACAAAGAAAAACAACATTAAAATAAATAAATAAATAAAACATAATCATTCATAAAGTGGTGTAGTCAGATAACACCAAACATGAGAAATGTAATTATTTTTAAAAGCTTGGCTCAGGTGTCAGATTAAGAGGAAATTGTCATATTTAGTTATCTTCCTAAAGCAAATTGCTAAATATGATTTATTCATAGAGTTTTTTCAAGTATGATAAAGAGAGATGAGGATCATGAGTGGAAACAATTATTGCATTGGACGCTTTGGTTTATCATTAGCACCTTGTGATAAAAATAATAACGGACAAAAAGGACTTTTTATTTTTAATAAAAATAAAAAGGCTTTTTTGCCCTTTATTATTTTTATCACAACAGGCCATGCCACCATTGATTGTTTGACATTCCTTTCCTCTTCGTTTTCAATTAAATAACCAGAAGCGCTAGTAAATCCTAAAAGCAACCAAAATATGGAAATTTTGACAATCAATTAAAAAAATTAAACCTTCTCTTTTCCAATGGGAATCCTCATTTTCTTCATCAAAAAAACCATTGCTACTAACACAACAAGTACAAAAAAACAATGTCATAAGTAAATTTTGAAGTACAATAAGGAAGTATATAAGACCAATCAACAAAAATAGTAGTAGGGTTAGTTCCTGATCAATGTTTTACTTTCAAAATCGCATCAGTATATGGTGAGTTCAAGGGATGAAAAAAAATAGGTCACGTTGTTTTTTTGTTTCTAATCGGACAGAAATATTTCATATTCTTGTTTGGATGCAAAAATTGATGATAGTAAAGTTGTATGCCAAAATCGATAATAGTAAATCGAGTTGTATGACAAAATAAAAACTTAATGGAGTTGTATGCCTAAATCGCTGCTGCGTAGAAGAAAAAATCGTTTGTGTAGAGCCAAGATTCGCCAAAATCACAGAGAGAATAAAGCAATATTCGCTGAGAGAGATTAAAGACGGAGAGCAAGGATCAAACCAGGACTTTTGTGAGAGGACAGTGATGCATCAATTGTAAACAAAAGACATCTGGAAGATTGGAAAAAATATCGAATTTTGGGGGAAACACAACTAAAAAGATTAGCATGGAGAGAACAAACTTTGGTTTACCTGAAGTTGTCGAAGAAGATGACCATCAATTTCTAATTCCCAATTCTTCCATAGCGAGATATGTGCTTTGCAGAGAGAGAGAGAAGCGATTCAGATAATATATCGAGACGACTGAAGTTTAGTAAATACAATTCAAATTTTAAAATGTTTTTGCTTCCTGTTTTCTTGCGATTTGATAGCTGTTAAATTGATTTATTGATAATAAAACTGAAATTAATCAAATTTGAATTCAAATATTTAATCAATATAATAGAAACTGTTTTTAAAAAGTAGATAAATTACGTTAAATAAGGAAGTGATAATCACTTGGAATATTCAGTTAAGTATAAATGAATATTGTTTATTGACTTTCCATTTAAAAAAAACTTACAGGAAATAAGAACATAATAGCATAACGGAATTAAGTAACAAACTTGCAACATTTTCGGATTCAACCGAATTGATGAGAAAATGGAATGCAAGGGCAATTTGGGGAATTAAGCTTCATCATATGAGCCGGAAATTTCGAAGGGGGGGGGGGGTCGTAAGGCATGACAAAAGAAAGAATTATTAAAGAAGAAGACATAACGATGCATTATAGACGATAATAATTCTATTTTGTCTTTTATGATTATGTAAAGTATCAATAAGTGTGTAGCATTATTATAATGTGACATAAAGTCTTATGTAAAGTAGTTTGTCTTCTTGCAATCATACGATTGCAATAATGTAAAGATACCGTGTGTAAACGGCTCTTTGGAGCCTATATAAAGGGTTTTGCCCTTAGTAAATAAAGCAGAGTGATTTGTGATTATAAGATTTGAGTTGATCTCAATCTTCTTCTGTTGAAATAGATTTTCTATTTCTGAATAGCAGAACCCTATCCAAACATATCCATATATTCATATAAACATATCAAACCCAGACAATCCATCCATCGTCAATCCATTCCGACGCATCATTCAGGTATATTCTGTCTTAATTTTATTAATTCCGCCATGTTTTTCAATTTGGTATCAGAACTAAGTAACGTTCTTATTATTCTTATTATTAGTTTGCATATTCAATCTATCGTTAATAAGAATATATGCATATGCAGCATCATAAACATGATAAGCATCATAAACATGATAATCATCATAAACATAATAATGAATAACCATTGTTTCTAAATATTCATATTTAAAAAAGCTATCAACAATTAAAATATTTATCGTAAGAAGATTTAATACCATAAATATGTCTCAAGATATTTTCAATTGTTAAGATTACTTTTATTTCTTCATGATAGTATCATTTCGAATTGTTTTAACTATTAATTCTACAAAATTTGAAATTTTTATTAAAATAATACTCGTTCTTAATAATCAAATTAATCAAATTCATGCTTGAAATATATATTTATGTCTAACAAAATTTTGATGAATTGTATTCCTAATAGAAATATTATTTTAAGAATACAGCAAATCCAAGAATCTATAAATAATTCTAAGAAAAATCTCAATGATTCTTACAAACCTAATAATCAAGGTATGATTTTAAACAATAACCATATTAATGATGTTAGATATTTCATAAGAACTGGTATTAAAATCCGTTACAAGCAAATACGTCGTCTAAAAACAAAATTATTTGTATTTTAAACATTCATTTGTACTATTACTATTATTTTCTATCTTTGATATGTCCATCATCATTTGTCATCATTATAATCATCATTATAACCTATTATCATAATTACCACCGTAACTTTAAATCCAAAACGAAACTAAACCATTATTATTATAAAATTATAATCATGAGTTTTTCAAGCCTAGATACAAATAAACAAGAATTAAAATTTTTTCGTAAAACATTAAAACAATCTAAAAAATTTCTTTTAGATTTAAAAATAGATTCTGACATATCAATGATAAATTGTATATCTAATATTGAAGCAATACATATAATAAATAATAGTATAAATTGGAAACAAGAACAAATAAAAAACCTTGAAGATAAAATAACAAAATTAATTTGTTAAATATGATAGAAAAAGCGTTAATAATAACTACTTCACTAGAAAAAAGAAACTAAAAATTTTATTTTTAATACACACAATATATATGGAAACTTTACAAGAAAAAGTAGAAACACTAACTAAATTATTTGCAGCATTACAAATTCCATCTGAAACTCAAGAAAATAATATAGAAATAGAAAATAATTCAGATGATAATGACGCAGAAGTAATATATGATTTTTCTTCAGATGATGAAAACCCTTATTCAAATCCATATAGAGATTCACAAAACAATTTTGGATTAAAACGAAAACAATCATATGTTGAAGATGATTATCAAAGTCAATATATTTATGGACCACCTTCATTAGAAGAAAATTTTTTATATAGACAAGGAATGGTTAAAAATAAACAAAACAAATGGGAAAAAATACCTCCTCAATACATACCTAAATTATTTACATTTCCAACAAATTCAGATATTCTTTTTATTGATTGTGACCAAAATCCTGAAGCAAAAATTCAAGAATGGAGTAATAAAATGGGAGTACAAATTCAGTTAACCGAAGAATTAAGAAATTTACACCCAAAACATTTTCTTAATTATATCATTCATAAAACACAAGGTAACGCATATCGTTTCCTTTCATCTCTTGATGAAACCGAAACAATGATGATAGCCACCACTGATGTTATGGAAACATTTAAAAATGTATTAAGCCGTCTTATTTAGGAATTCATAGGGAAAACAAATTGAAGATAAAATATCAAAAGAAGCTTTTCAATTAGAATCACTATGGCATTTAATTAATTTACGAATTTGTAATATGTGTTATTTAGAACCATTTATATGTGAATATTCTAAACATTATTATAATTTAGATTCCATTAGAAAAAAGGCAGCATTAGATATGTTCTTTCAAAAATTACCATCATTAGTAAGCCAAAGTGTAATAAAAGATTTCCAAGAAGCATTACAACAAAATAAAGTTGCAGACACCTTAGGAGCACGAATAAGCATATTAAAAGCATGGATGCAGAAAAAATGTTTAGAACAAAAAACAGCACAAGATGCAAAAATTGATTTATGTTGTGACATCCTTTCTAACAAAGTAAATCAATATGGTTGTAAAGAAAAACAACAAAGTAAAAAGAAAATTTGGAAAAAACAAACTTATAAACCCAAATATAAAGAATATTATAAACAAGGGGAAAGAAAATATTTCCGAAATAGAAAACAATATAAACAAAAATATCAATCCAAAACAAATTATTGCACATCGAATAAAAAAGACTGTAAATGTTGGATATGTCAAGAAGAAGAACACAAAGCTTATGAATGCCCGAAAAAGACTAAAAAAGAAAAAGAAACAAATATATTAAAAATTGCATATGACCTTGGATACGAACCCATAGAAGATTCAGATATAAATTCAGATATAGATATTTATGCATATACAACTGATTCTGATTCAGATGCAGGTACATAATCCTATGGAAAAAGTATTATTAGAATTAGAACTTGAGGGAAACCTCATATCTAACCTATCTAGAATATACATTGCTAAAGCATACAATGGTATGAAAGTACCATCTGAAGTAAACAATGATAAAGTATACAGTGATATGAATATATCACCAAAAGCATACAGTGATATGAATATATCACCAAAAGCATACAGTGATATGAATATATCACCAAAAGCATACATTGATATGAAAATTCTCATATCATC